TTCTCAATACTTTGGATCAGATTTTGTTCCTAGTGCATTCAGATCAGATGGCTTTTTCCTTTAGTCTGTCTTTGAGACAGCAGGGCTATCAGAAAGAGCACAGGAAAGATGGACTTGATCAGTTCTAGTTGCCTGACCTCAGCCCTAACCCAAAGCAGATCAAGGCAGCCATTACAGGGAAAGTCTCCCTGAGATCCCATGGCCTGAACTGGCACATGGTCATTTACTTGTGGGGATGGTTCATGCACAGTGTGGTCAGCACTAAGAGCTTGGAGGGGATGGATCATGCTCAGAGGGAACAGAGAGCACTGCAGTATATTTAGTGAGTATGTATGAATAGGAATCTTTCAAAGACCAAAAATAACTTGGCCCAATTCAGGCAGATTTTCAATGGGGATTACAAAAAGCACATCCAGGGCACAAAGGCCACCACCTCTTCCTAATTTCAGGTCCCTATCACAAGCCGCAGATATGCTAGTGCACTTAAACATTACCAGAATTTTCAAAAAACAGGTTCTTTTTACCAGCCTGGCTCTCAAAAATAGCCAAACCATTGGGGATGAAATTGTTCAAAAATACTTATCCTGAAGCATCAACAATTTCATCCCGAGCAGTTAAGTTCCAGCAAAAGGATAAGCAACTGAAACAGGATCAGTAATAGGATGTGTCAGGTTACCTTAATAAGAAGTCGTGTTACTAGCCCTGCCCCTGATCAGCTCATAATAAACATTTGTGTTTCCCTAGCATGCATATTGCCATGACCTGGCTCTGATTTAACACAAAGGCATTTATCTTTCCCTGTGTTGTTTGCTCAGCTCAGGAATGATTTATTACCTGCTTATCTTCTCTGAATATTAAGTGTTTACGTCACCCTGATGTAAGATTTTTCCAACAGACTGTAAGCGAAAGTCAGACTCAAGTGTGTAACAGCTGAAGTAGTGGGATACACATGGAATGGATCGCTAAAGCATCGTAACCACAAGCTGCTTTGACTTTTATGAGGAACTGACTCCCGAGAGAGTACGGTAAGCTTCCGAGTCATACATGTTACTTAGAAAAGAACTTTGAAGCAATATGTTCTTTGTTAAAGGCTTAAAAAGTTGTGTCACTGATTCTGCTGGATTTTACATAATGAAGTACTGTAGGCGATAAAAAGATCTTCGTAATGTCGTTCAATTATAGCAACGAACAGAACAACATAGGGAATGAGCAAAACTCTGTTTGCAGGAGCACCGATAAAGTTAAATCATTACATTCTGGGGAACTCTTCCAGAGTCAAAATGATGAGTCTCGAAGCAGAATTTAGCCCATCATATCTAAAACCTTTGCCATGGATTATATATTCTTATTTCTTACTGTTTTCCCAGGTTTTATCTTTGTATATGAAGGCTATTCCAAAGCAAGGGACACCAATGAACATCTGCTAACTGCTTTCAATCTGACAATCCCTAAACACCCATTCACCTCAGTGAAAGTTATCAGCAATCCAAGTTTCAACATTTTTTGGACATAAAAGCCTGTTTTGTACACATAAATGTGTAAATGGCAGATTGTAAATGGGACAAGTGTGTGAAAATAATTGCGCACTATCAATCTCACCACTGTAATTTAGATAATTTACCAATGCTTATAGAAAGTCATACAAAAAACTAGAACTCTTGGTTCCAAAATGATACCTTTTATTAGACCAACTGGGAAATCACAAAAAAATTGTCCTTTTTCTTCATTGCAAGAAAATTGTCCTTCAGAGAAGAAGAAAAAGGACAACTTTATTTTGATTTCCCAGTTGGTCTAATAAAAGGTATCATTTTGGAACCAAGAGTTCTAGTTTTTTGTATGTCTTCTTGTCTCAGACCAGCACGGCTACCAAGTACACCCCTTTTGAAAGTCATGAAGACTGCTACTCTTACTGAATCACTAGGAATTCTGGCATCAGTTTTGGTGGGAGGGGCCCTTTATTGCTGAGTGGAGCTACCAAAATGCACTCTTACACCCCATACAAGAACTACTGATATTTTAGGAACTTTACTATAGGGAAGATAAGGAGATTAAATTCTATATTCTGATATCATTCAGCTGGTGTTGCCATTTTGCTGGAGTGGGGGTGGGTGATTTTTGTTGTGTTCCTTTTATGTTTAAAACTTTTATTTCATTGTACTTTTAGAAAGGCTTGACTTTTCTATATTTTGAAGATGTGCTATCACATTGCTACATACAATGCATTCAGAAAAAAACACAGTACAAAATACCACTTTTGTTATCCTGGTTTAAATCTGGAATAATTGCAAATGAACCACAATGAAATTGCTCCAGCTGTGCACCAGTACAGGTTAGTTCAGTTTTTGGCATGTCTTCTTATTTTACCCTTACAGGTAAACCGTTCTTTTGAGTAATACTATCTAGATCTGAATCTAAGGCAGTTTAACAGTGATATTTCCTAATGTTAAATCATATGAATATGTCCAAGGAGTATTCTTTTAATACAGATCCTTTTCCTTCTGAGGATTGTAGGTAAGGTTGGGTAAACCTCATGGATGTTTAAGCTTTGCAAACTTCTCAGTTTACTTGGGGACCTTTTCAAAGTTTATAAAGTTCAGTTGTTGTTTCCTTTCCTGTTTCTTACTATTTGAAATGTGTTTTTTTTTCTTCTAGGAGGGATTCAATTCTAAGAATGAATTCTAGCTAAAAGGAAATGTGTGTTTGTATATGGCAATGATTATCAGCCAGGGTATTGTGGCACCCCAGGGTTCTGAGAAATCCTTTTAAGGGTGCTTTGGGGTGCTGTGCAGTATTAGCATGGTTGTGTGTGCAGGCACCTGTATATGATTCACAAGATACATCCAGATTTCAATTAGGAATCAACAGCATCAAAAATATTCTTACCTTTAGTCTTTCTGGGTTCTTGGCAACAGAAGAATTACTCTTTTTCAGTAGTCAAAATGAACGAAAGCTAAGAGTTGACATTTTCTGTGGGCTGCCTTGAATCTAACAAGGTGTACCTTGAGTCTGGAGCAGCTGGGAACTACTGGTATAATGGATAAAAGTGCCTTTTCCCCAACCCAGGTGGACTTGTGCAAACAGTACCCTACAGAGGAAATAGTATACTAATGTAGTATGAAGTCAGTGGATTTTCAGCACGGCTTAATTGGGGTCCTGCCTTTTCTTTTTGCATTTTAACTTTTCTTGTTTCCCTGCCTTGTTTTATTTTTATATACCTACATCTGGTTTCAAGCTATGTTATTGAGTACAGTATTTCAGTGAGTTTGAAATTAGGCCAAAGGTTTCCCATTTCTTGATGTACTGTTTTCCATTAAGATTATTATTTCTCCACAAGCGTGAATTCCAGGTGTTTCATGTGATCCAGCATACTCCAGACATTAGTGTCTTTTTTTTATTTTTTTGTTGCTGATGCATTTCCTTTTAAAAACTCTGAAATGACTCAGCAAATATAAATTTCACAGTAAAGAAAGAAATTCCTCTGACCAAACAGATCCACTTTTATTTCAAGATTATAGTGCTATGGTGCATGATTTCCAAAATTTAAGATAGTTGTTCCAACTGACTTTTGAGCAGTTATTGTTTGTAAGCTTAAGTATTCATCTTCACACTTGCTCTTTAAATGTTAGCAGTGAGAACATCAATATGAATCTGAATGATTAAAAACATGAAAATATGTTCTCTTTTCTTTTTTTTCCCTTAGAGCCTAGTGCCACTCTGATATTTTTGTAGCTGAGAAACAGGAAACACAGTAGAGCAGTAGAAAGCGTTCTCATGTGGAGCCCAGGAATTCCTTGGGAAAGTCTGCTATATTCTTGGAATCTTTCTCAAGCTAAAATTCTGTTTACATTCTGAAGTTGGCAGAGAAATTATACTAGTCAGGGTTGCCAAAAATGTTAAACTAATTGAAGATATTAATAAAAAACTAAGCATTTGGGAGAAATGCACTTTGTTCGACAGTGGAGAAAAATAATGCTGCATTCAATGTTCAGGGAGAGGAACAAGCAAATTTGGCTTTTTACCATTACTTATTTTTCACTTATTTTGTTCTTGATGAAGTTCCTGAAAAGCTCCAGTTTCTGATGAAGTTTAGAGCAACCTCACAATTACTCTAATTTGCACCAGCTGCCAGCTACTCCAGGATTCAATTCAATTCAAATACATGAAGATTGCTGGGCTGTTACAATATCCTGCCCAACCCTGTTCCTTCCGTGGGTGCCCATAAAGAAGACAGTCAATTCTCAGGTTACATACCACTCAATGGGTACATCTACATGTACATGAATACACTTTTCCTAATGCACATTAAATTTAGTACTTCCAGTGTGAGTACCCATATACATGGGGCATCACATCGGCTAGTATGTTCCCTCCTTTACCAGGGCACTCCAAATTTCAGATTCTTAGAATTTATGTTTAACAAGGAGAAATCAAGCTACTCTTGTGTACCTAATTCTAAACAGCTTGAGGTCTATTGTTGTGGCTGAGGTGGTAATTTGAGGGCACAGCCTGCCATTGATTATCTGTCCCAACTTATAAGAGACCCAGTGGGCACATCTACACATGCCCCTAACTGTGCAGTTGGTAGTGTGTTGCTAAAGCAAGTACTAAATGGCTGTGCAGTCCCAGTGGTACACGGGTCGTTTACAACCCTACATCACTGTAGCAATGAGCTACGGTGATGTAGCTTGTTGCTACAATAAAGTTGCAGTGGCATCATGGTTAGTGCCCACTGACACTGTCACCATAGCAATGAGCTACATCTCCGTAGCTCGTCACTATGGCAATGTAGCATCTCATGTAGACACGCCCACTATGTATGAAGAATGATTCTTCAAATTAGTACCTTGACCATAAGTACAGTACCTTGATCATGAAAGCATAGTGTATTAAAGTTTAAACTATTTAGATCATCTATACAAAATTACCTTGATGGGTCTAGGATAATAGCATATCAATTCTGAAAAACTGAAAGTTGGAATATCTTGGTCATTGATGGAAGATACTGCTTAAAAGTGGAATGGGAAAGCATTTTACAAAGCCTTACAGATTCCTGTTCTCTCAACCCCATTACTGAAACAGGACATTACTGGTGGTTTGGTAAATGCCTTTTATATAGTACCAGTCTTCCTTTGTTGTTCACTATTCCTTGACTGTGCAAACAGACAAGTGAATCCTTCTGATTGTCTTACATAAATTGATAAAGATAGCTGCCACATGTTGATTGGCTAATGGCTGGTTTCCAATGACTCTTTTAAGGAAGAATAGGAATTATAAGAATCATAGGAAAGTAGGGGTGGAATGGACCTCATAAGGTCATCTAGCCCAGCCCCCTACTCAAGGCAGACCAGTTCTTCTATCTACCCAGGTCATTCTGAATCCTAGCCCTATCCTCCAGAGTATCGGCAACTCCACCCAACTTGGTGTTAGTCACAAATTTGCTAAAAGTGCACTTAATGCCATCATCTAAATCATTAATGAAGATGTTAAACAATCCCTGACCCTAATCAGAACACCGGTAAACCCCAATAGATACTTCCTCCCATCAAGACATTGAGCCATTGATGACTACTTGTAGAGTATGATGATCCAACCAGTTACGTATCCACATTGAAGTACTTTCATTTAGTCTGCATTTTCTTAGCTTGTTAATGAGACTGTCATGGGAGACACTGTCAAAAACTGTGGTGAAGTCAAGGTATATCAAATCCACTGCTCTACTCTCATCTGCAGAGAATAGTCATCTTATCAGAGAAGGAAATCAGGTTGGTCAGGCATGACTTGCTCTTAGTAAATCAATGCTGCTCTTCCTGATCACCTGGTTCTCACCTAGGTGCTTCACAATAGATTCCTTGAAGACCTGCTTCATGAATTTTCCAGATACCAATGTCAGCTTGACAGGTCTGTAATTCAGACAGATCTCACTTTTCTTTTTTAAGGATGGGCACTACATTTGCCCTTTTCCTGTCATCTAGGACTAGTCTCACCTGATCTCCACAGGTTTGCAAAGAGGATAGATGGTGAATGC